TGTGACATACTTGTTCCAAAGATCAACATGTCATTTACATATAGACAAATTATGACACCTTCACCGTTGTCATTAAATTTTCTATATATACACTTGTCTGAATTATTCAACTTGAATCCATTAGACAACACAACCTCATCAAACTTTTGATGCCATTGCTTAGGTGCTTGCTTAATCCCATACAAAGATTTAATCAACTTGCAAACTTTTCGCTCTTGGCCTTCCACAACAAACCCTTCCGGTTGTTGCATGTAAACCTCTTCTTCTAGATCTCCATTCAAGAACGCTGTCTTGACATCCACTTGATGGATCACAAGATTATAGATAGCCGCAAGAGCTATCAACAACCTTATAGTTGAGATTCTAGCAACAGGTGCATATGTATCGAAATAATCAATACCAGGCTTTTGTGTAAAACCTTGTGCCACTAACCGGGCTTTGAATTTTTCAACAGTTCCATCAATCCTCAATTTCCTTTTGAAGATCCATTTGCACCCTATTGGTTTACATTTAGGAGGTAAATCAGCTAATACCCAAGTATTGTTTCCCATGATGGAATCCATCTCATCATTAATTGTTTCCTTCCAAAATGGAGCATCATGAGACTTCATAGCCTCATCAAATGTTGAAGGATCATCTTCCACATTAAAAATATAAGGAAATTGAGTCAAAACATTGTTTCTTGATCCCTCAATCAAGTACACATGAAAATCTGGGCCAAAAGATTTCTCTTTCCTAGCCCTCTTACTTCTCCTAAGTGGAGATGATGATGAAGATGCCTCCTCTAAATGAGCTTGGTCATCTTCCTCTTGATCAAATATAATTTGATCATCACCTTGAGCATTGGTATTTAGAGTAATATCCTTAGGTCTAGGAATTGATGAATATCTATTTTCATCAAACAATGCATCCCTTGACTCTATGGTGGTATGAACCGACCAAAAGTCATTTTGTTCTATCACATAAAACCTATAGGATTTGCTATGTTCTGCATATCCTATAAAATTGCATTCAACTCCTCTTTCACCTGACTTTTTACGTTTAGGTTCCGACACTTTTACAATTGCCCTACAACCCCAAACTTTGAGATGACTCAAGTTTGGTTTCCTTTTGTACCATAGCTCATATGGGGTAACCTCGTTCCTTTTCATAGGAACTCGGTTTAAAATGTAACAAGCTGTTAAAACGGCTTCTCCCCAAAATCCATCACTCAAACCCGAATAAGATAACATGGAATTAACCATTTCTTGTAAAGTCCTATTCTTCATTTCCGTTACACCATTTTGTTGTGGTGTATATGTCGCGTTGTTTCATGTACTAATCCTATAGATTGGAAATAACTTGGATTATAGTATTCACCTCCTTTATCGGTTCTTAACTTTTTAATCTTTTTATTTGTTTGCAACTCTACTTCATTTTTGTAGATTTTAAATTTGTCAAAGGCTTCATCCTTAGAAAACAATAAGTATACATAGCAAAATCTTGAAAAATTATCAATGAAAGTTACTAAATAATTCTTATTGCCTAAGGAAGGAGTGTTATGAAAGTCACATAAATCATTATGCACTAAATCAAGCAATGAAGTATCCTTTTCTATATTGCTAGGAAATGGTTTCCTTGTAATTTTTGTTAGCATGCATGTTCTACACTTCTCTATCCTTGGATCAAATGATGAAATTAATTCATGTTTAGACATAAAGTAAAGCTTCTTGTAATTAACATGTCCAAGTCTAAAATGCCATAGAGAAGAGTTATTACTTACAACATACACATTATCCCTAACATTATTACAAATACTTAATTTAAACATTCCATCATACAAATAACCAAGTCCTACAAATATACCACCTTTAGACAAAATAAATTTATCCGATTCAAACACCATTTTAAATCCTAATCGATTCAAGATAGCACCGGATACAAGATTTTTCCTAAGCTCGGGAGCATACAACACATCTCTTAAAATAAGAGATTTGCCCGAACTAAAAATTAGTTCTACTTGTCCTTTGCCTAGCACCCTTGTTGTGGAATCATTTCCCATGTATAGGATTTCTCCATTATCAACCTCCAAAAAGGTCTTGAACAATGAACGATCCTTGCATACATGCCTCGATGCTCCTGAAACTATCCTGCACACATAGGATTTCAGAAATCACACACACATAATCCATAAATAAATTAAACTAAGTGAAATTTGTGTACAAGAGTTACCTTACTTGTCTTGAGATTGGCTTGACTCGCCTTTCCCACTTTGAGTCCTTTTCTTGCTCATCTTTTTCTTCCAAATGGTACAATCCTTTTTAAAATGACCGGGTTTTCCACAAACCCAACAAGTACGTGATTTTTTACCATCACTATCACCCTTAGGCTTCTTGCCTTTATTATTGTTTGAGTCATTTCCTCTTTTCTTGTCATTTGACTTAGAGTCCTCTACCATATTAATGATAGAACTAGGATTTCCATCCTTTTGTCCATCTTGAATTCGGATTCCCTCTTCAATCCGAATATGGGAACCCAAATCTTCAACATTTATTTCATCCTTCCTATGCTTTAAAGTGTTTCTAAAGTCTTTCCAAGAAGGTGGCAATTTATCAATAATAGAAGATACAACAAAAGTCTCATCCATACTTATGTCATATTGTTTAAAACTCCCTAAAATTCTTTGAATTTTATGAAATTGTTCCATAACCGGCCTACTATCAACCATTTTATAATTATTGAAATTACTAACAAGAAACTTTTTGCTAGATGCATCCTCAGCCATATACTTAGATTCTAAATCATCCTAAAGAAGTTTAGCAGATTCATAAAATTGATAAACATCAAACAAGTCATCAGACATACCGTTAAGAATGTGTCCACGGCATATGTAGTCATCATTCTCCCACTTATTCCTCTTTCTAGTATTTTCCAATGTCTCATTTTCCTCCTCCAATGGTTTTGGGGTAGTGAGAACATATGCCACACCAAGAGAAGTCAAGAGAAAATGCATTTTCTTTTGCCATCTTCGAAAACCCACGCCCTCGAACTTGTCCAATTTCTGGAAATTTGATGTCAATTCCTTAACGGCGGCCATCTTTGCAAGTATATTACTTTTGGATTGTTGGGGATAATACTAAAAATACAAGGGACACAAAGAAGAAATCGGAATTAAACAATAATAACCTTCGAGGCGTGAACGAAATCACTTTCCCAAAAGTAATATTTCGACCCTTAAACTACAACCCGGATATCACGAAATCACTTAGGAGATACAACGAAGAACAATCACAATTATGTGTAGTATAATTATGATTCAATGTAAACTAGTATATTTATTTTGTGATGATGAACAATGACAAACACATGCAAATTGACTTTTTAATGAAGAGATAAAAAATCTGATGTATACCCACAACCTTTACGTTGAATATATATATGCAGCATGCAAAAAAAGTGAATAGTCATTATCCAAAAGGTATATTCCAAACGGTGCCATATAACCATTATTCCAAAAGGTGTATTCCACAATGGTGTATTCTAAACGGTGCCATATAACCAATTTATCAAGCAGTGCAAATACAGCAGTTTATTTCATCAAGCAATGCAATACTCTAAATAACTCAACAGGTCCTGTCGAACTCCCTTAAGGTTCGGTCGCACCTATGCTAGAAAATGGAAGTGCTGTTGCTACTGCCTCAAAACATGGTTCGATCGGACCCATGCATGTTCGGCCGAACTTTTCATAAGTTTGCCCGAACTCCTTCTTGTTCGATCGAACTCACAACCAATAGCAGCTTCTAGCTTCTCACCTTATGCCTCCATGCATTGATTCATCTCCACAGTAATCGTAACATGTTTGTGTTCCTTTTAATTAATTATTTATTGTTACTAACTTTTTTTGGAAGGATGGGCTGGTGGGTGGTCATCATAGTGTCCATAATAGGCAATTGAAAGCTAAGTTAGTGATCTTAAGTGGAGTTTTTATGATGTAGCTAGAAATAGGAAACACTGCTTTCAGCATTAGTTTAGCAGCTGAGTGATTCCTTCTGCTTTCTGTCTTTCCTTCAAGCTTGGATTTTCTTTCTATACTTGCATACAATATTCAAGTTATGCATATATATATATATATATATTCTACATACTTAATAGTGGTTAAAATTTGAGCACCTAACTTGTTAAAACACGAAGTATGTACTATAATTGTTCTTGTTTCACTTTTACAGGACAATTCCTTATGACAATTCAGGTTAGCTGAGCCTAAATTTAGATGGAGATAGTGGTGTGTACACTTAAAAAACTCAATAAACTATGTGATTATACCATGTGCTTTCTTGATTTTTTTTTTTTTTTTTTTTTTTTTTTTTTTTTTTTTTTTTTGGAATTTGGTGCTCTCTAAATTTAGTGGGTGATTAGCGCATGGTTCATCATTATAATCATTTAACTACATTTTAAAGTCTTTAATTACTGTTTTTAATGCGGTTTTCTTGGTGCTTCATCTCCAAATAGGATTTCAGTGGAACCTATTGTCTAAAAATGATTAATAAATTTACAAAATCATGATTATACTCTATACACATTTCATTGGCAAACTTTTTAAATTAAAATTGTTTTTCTATTCTAGAAGTTTGATCAATTCTCTTTGTAAAGTGACTTACATTTGATCACATCATAAGATAAATTTTAAGGACGTTTTTTTCCTATAACTATACTGAGATTGTCAAAATGGGAGGGGTTTATTACAATCCTCCAATTTATTTCAACAATTAACGTTATTCAGCTTCTATTTGCTGTTACGGAGTAATACATAATCTTTAATTTAGAAAATAAAAACACAAGAAACATTTGAAGAGTAGATTGAAGAGTCCATTCTTTTTTTATCACCCCTAAATGCGTTGCTAACTTTTTCTAGAAACACCAAAAACGATCCTAGGCATGCCGGTTATACATCAACATAACAGAAATTTTCCTAGCAATCCTTAACGTATGAAAGAGTACAATTGTACAGCAATTAAGGGGACAAAATACATGCATAAAGCAAAAAGGCTCCTTAATACTAGAAAAATAAGGCAGAAATAAGGTGATATGTATGTTACTTTTAAATTTGTTGTATGGTATGCATTTTAAATGGTAGTATCTTGCAATAGTCGCATTTCTTCGGCCTGGAAATGCTCTACTTTTACTGCATATACCTGTATAAAAGATAACATTAGCAACAAGAATGAGACATAATTTTTTTTTTTTTCTTTTTTCTAATGAAACTATTCATAAGCATGAAGGTTCAAACTAATTTCTTCCTAGTCCTACTATTATTGCTCTTTTTTATGCTTGGAAACTCCATTGGTTATCCTGAGATCTATAATGCTGTTCGAGCTGATTATGGGATCGATATACTCAATCGAAGCAGTTTTTCTGCAGGTTTTCTTTTTGGGACAGCTTCATCATCATATCAGGTGAGTTAGAAGTTTAGGATTTAGTATTTTTCAATAAAAATCTTATTTATATTATACCAACATTATGTTGTAAAAATGTTGGCAAAAGAAATATTAGTTGTCTTAATTAAGTGAGATTGTTTTTCGTTAACAGTATGAAGGTGCAGCTCATGAAGATGGTAGAGGTTCAAGTATATGGGACACTTATACTCAAAAATATCCAGGTTCTTGATCTGCCTCATGCGTGCCCCTTGAACTCTTGAAGTATTTGGTATTATGTTAATGGTTAACACATTTAATTAGTCACCTACACCATGTAAAAGCAAATTCTCAAGTTCTTTTACATCAATCAATTTTTTTTTTTTTAATGAATATTCCTATAATTTGTTAGGATTGTAGGATGATTAACCTAGATCATTTATAATCTCAAATCTTATTTGTTCATGATTTTCCTTGTGCAGATAAGATTAAAGATCGAAGTAATGGTGATGTGGCAATAGACTCATACCATCGGTATAAGGTAATAGACTCAAGGGTTGCTCAACTAATTGAGACTCCTTTGTTATATAACGTGATCTATTTATTAACCGTGTTAATCATTTCGTAGGAGGATGTGAAGCTCATGAAGAAAATGGGATTAGATGCCTACAGATTTTCAATATCTTGGTCACGGATATTACCATGCATGTTCTAATACCCTTGTCTTAATTTAGTTTCCAAAGCATGTGTTTTCTTCATTTCGACAGCCTTTTTTGAGCCAAATGAACTGATGATTGAACAGATGGGAAACTACACAAAGGCGTGAACCGGAAAGGATTAGCATACTATCACAACCTTATAGATGAACTAATAGTGAATGGTAAAAGATTCAACTCTCGGTCTTTTATAGAACTATCTTAATATTTTTTCACTCTTAATTAAAGTTAATATTGTTCTGTACTTTTATGATTCATTTTTTTTGCAATGCTTCTGATTATATTTTTTGGTATTGGCAGGTATAAAACCCTTTGTGACTCTCTTTCATTGGGATCTCCCGCAAGCATTGGAAGATGAGTATGGTGGTTTCCTAAGTCCTTACATTGTGTAAGTCATCTTCTGAGTCCTGAGAGAATGGCAAGATTGGTTCCTACATATAAGAAAGGGGAAATTCCATGTTCTTTTTCATTATTGTGGGCTCCACAATTGAATAAAGTTGTTGGTTTATTTACAAAAATGTTATTTTCTCACTATCAGAAACTGGGGCATCCCTTATAAGAAAGATCATATAATTTTTTTTTTTATTGGAAGCAAAAATATTCAATAAATATGAAACTTGTGTTAGAAACTTACTGCTAGTGTTCAGTAGGCTGGGTTTGGGCTGCCATTTTCTGGTCTTTTGCAGGGTTTGGCACTACCAGAATACCTCTTCAGACCATTTTTTACTTGGGCTCTGTCAGCTTGGACCCATATGCCAATTTATTGATCTGACCTCACTCATAAAGGGCCCAATCATTTCTCGGCGCCTTGGCCTTTATAAGCTTTCCCCATATTTTGGCCTGTAAATGTTTTAATATTGAGCCTTTTAGAGTAAAACATGTCCTGTTTGTTACAATGTTGCAGGGATGATTTTAGGGATTATGCAAATATTTGCTTCAAAGAATTTGGTGATAAAGTGAAACATTGGATCACATTGAATGAACCCTGGTCCTATAGTTACGGTGGATATGCTAGTGGGAGATTGACTCCTGGTCGGTGTTCAAAGTGGCAGCAGCTTAACTGTACTGGCGGAGATTCAGCCACTGAGCCATACTTGGTTTCTCACCACCAGCTTCTTGCTCATGCCGCAGCAGTTGACTTGTACAGGCGTAAATATAAGGTTTATAAACTATAATGACTTATGCCTAAATTCATGCCTATACTATACTTGCATGATTTCAGTATATAAAACATTTAATAGACTTTTTACATGTAAATGATGCAATTACACAAGACATATATATAAACTAGCTGATGAATTGGACTAATTATTTCATGGACTAGTCGCGGTTACTTCCCACCCATTCCATACATTGGCCATCTCTAATCATGTATGACCATCATGTGAATTCAGTGTTTCCTCTGATTACCCTGTTATATTCCTAGGCATCTCAGCAGGGCATAATTGGGATCAGTCTAGTGACGAATTGGTTTGTTCCACTCTCAAAAATACAGCACCATAAGTTTGCAGCTATGAGAGCGCTTGACTTCATGCTTGGATGGTGAGCTTACTGAGCTATGCATATATTATATAAACTTGTATCAATTTCTGCAGCTAGAATTCCTATACCTATTTGTCTGTTATCTTGTCCCGTTATACTTCATGATATATACGACCTTTAAGATTAATGTTTGTTAGAAACGAGTTCTTATATATTAAAGGTTCAAACAGGTTTATGGATCCAATAACCAAAGGTGAATATCCACATTCCATGCGCTCCCTTGTAAGAGGCCGATTGCCTGAATTTTCTGCAGAGCAGTCAAGGATGTTGAATGGATCATATGATTTTCTAGGCTTAAATTATTACAGTGCTCGTTATGCAGCTTATTCTCCTGGTTTGAAGCATGCAAAACTCAGTTACACAACTGATGCTAATGTCAGACAAACAGGTATGTTTATAAATTATTTTTGATGTGCTTGTATAAGTAACACAACATATTTTCACTTTAAGATTCAACTGTTGCTAAGTACTCATGAAGTTCTATTTGGTTTTTATCAAACATTGCTTGATTTATCGCAGTTGAGCGAAAGGGAATCCCAATTGGTCCAAAGGTATTCAAGTGATTCCTCTGTACCACAAGGATTTTTTTCTGTGAATGATTTATGCTGTACATCCTTTTTTATGTTTTTAATATTTTCCTCAGCTAAAATCGGTGATAACTTCCTTGTTTCTTCTTGTCCCTCTAATTCTTGCAGGCGGCTTCAGATTGGCTGTATGTTTATCCACAAGGAATTCGATATCTTTTAGTCCATATAAAGAGAAGATACAACAACCCTTTGATCTATATAACAGAAAATGGTAAGTTTACCACTATATTTTAATGATTCTAACATTTAGAATTTTGTTTATATAACTTATACAATGCATTCTCACTCAGAATTTTGACTACTTATGTCTGTAGGTGTTGACGAGGTTAACAATGGCACATTGTCACTCAAGGCAGCACTTAGAGATGAAATGAGGGTCCGATACTACCATGATCATCTAGCTTTCTTACACCGTGCAATCAAGTGATCATAGTCTACAAACTCACTCAATTTTCTTTCGTTTTAATTTGGGCAGTCTTTTATTACATACCTATGATAGTATAAATCTAAATCTCTTTAGTCATCGAGTGGATGGACTTGAATAGAGGTGATCAAGTTGTTGGGGAATTTGGTAGAAACAAAGGTCACAAAGATAAACAAACAAAATTAACTGAGAATTTTTCGAGGCGTGAACGGGATCACTTTTCCAAAAGTATAATTCTGACCCTATACTACAACCGGGTATCACGGAAATTTACTCAGGAGATACAACGAAGGCCAATTGCAATCACAAGTAGGATGATTACAAAACAATGTAAATAAGCGTTTGTGATTTGTGATGATGATAATTGAAGAACTTTGCAAACAAGAGAATAAAAATGAAAGTTACTGTCTTCTATTCTATTCTCTAACTTCCATCATAATAATAATAATAATAATAATAATAATAATAATATAATTAAAAGCAAAAACCATCAACTTAACCGTCAAAAACAACGCAACCCGAACCCAGAAAATGGTCGGGCCCGATCGGGCTAACTGCCGCCCAATCGGGCGAGTATATTCTTCAGAAAACGCAAGCCCGATTGAACCGTGGTGGCCCGATCGGGCCCGCATGATGAACACGAAAGTTAATTGTTGCAAAAATGTAGCCTTTTTCTTTCTAGATTTTGATGATTGTATTGGTTTTGGATTGCAGGGAAGGTGTAAATGTGAAGGGCTATTTTGCATGGTCATTGTTGGATAATTTTGAATGGAGTTCTGGCTATACTGTTCGATTTGGGATCAACTATGTTGACTACAAAGATGGATTGAAAAGATACCCTAAACTTTCTGCTTTCTGGTTTAAGAAGTTCCTGCGAAACAAGAAATAATATTCTACTCTTTCAAAGCTAGTTAAATAAACTCTCAAGTCATCCTCCTGAATCCTGATATTTTTATATATGCTACATGATTATGATTTCTATGTGATCATAACAATGCAAGTATATTTGGAGACTAAAGTGTATCATATTTGCTCCTATTATATATCATTGTATGTTATATTGAATTCCATATCATATTCTAGATTTGTATACAACGACGCTAATATGATTTGAGCTTGTTATATGGTTGGTCGGTTGCTTATTATAAAGTCCACATAGCAGGCGGCTTATTATTAATGAAGACCCGAGCATTACATGGGCTTAAATCTAGTCTAATACCAATTTACCGAGTACGACTTGTTATATTTAAGAAGATACTCTGTATGAGATAATATTTAGAGGTGGTATTTAGGAAGGTCTGGGATAATTTCAAGGGATCGGAGGAGAGTCTTAATTTGTTAGCCTATATGATTATTTCCTTAGATAATATTATTTCCAAAGGCACGTGCAGATGTCGATGAGTTTTATATTCAAATAGGATTGTTTTCGATCTTTTGAAATTGGACAATTGTTTCAGGATTGTTGATTAAGATTTTAGAATTATGTTTTTGAGTACCTCAGTGTGAGTAACATAAGTCCACTTTCGTTAAAAGTTGTATACTTTTTAGCGTATAATAAAGAATGGTATGTTTTGAAAATTTTAGTTCCACCAATATTATTTGCCTCTGAACCTTCAACTGATAAAATGAGTTACAGTACTACCATGACCATCTTACTCACACATTTTCTGTTTGCAATCAAGTAAATCCTCTTATTCTTTCGCCTTTTTAAGAACAACTTAATGATTTAGCCATTTTTCTTTGATCAAATGATATTGCCAAGGAAGTAAATTCTTCTTAACCCACCCAATAGATTATGGAACTACTTTTATAGTTGGATGTTGGTGCCTTTACTGTGCTGCTATCTAGAATGCTAGCTATATTTATGTTTGGATTCAAAAAACGCGTCCTTAATCATCTATATTCTCTAGTGAATTGGAAAATACCTGTTTTACATGGATTTTTGACATATACTCCCTTCATCATTAAATATTCTTTATATTATGAACATTTGTCGTGATTGTCTCAAAACATATAAAAAGAAATTTTATACACAGGGGAGTACTGTACTAGTCTCATTAGGGGACTCGAGTTGTGTTTTTCTTTAATTTTCATTAAGTAATATTTTGACAGATTTATACAAGGACCATTCATGTTCATTTAAATTCTATAGTTCTAGGCATGTTTTTTTAATTATATATGCTTGGATTTGCTATACAAATGAAATACAGAGGTTACACTAAAATCCATGTTTTTGTCAGTAGTTTTAATTAGAACGTATACAGTATGCCAAAGTTTTATTATAATCAAACGAATCATTAAATTTGCAGATTAATATTTTGATATACTCGATGTTTGTGATATGATGAACTTGGTATACCAGTAATATATATGCCAAAATATAACTTTGGTGTGCTCAATGTGATATGTATGTGAGTCACTAACAGAAAATATTCAGTGAAATTTGTTTGTGGCAGTATCTATGTGCAGTACAAGCTACGTTGAGATTTATGCTATCCATCTATGTCACCTCAAGTATACTGTATGGCGAATCCTAAAAACTTCATACTTTATTTTTGGCCAAAATAGCCGAGTTTTATACTTGGACACACGTGTCAAACATGGGTATCCGAGTATAAGTAACACAGTCCAAGAGTGCCTATATAATAGAGTACTCTAGAAGATTGCGACATTTGAGCAGGGCTAGTGAATGATAAAGTCTTTGTTATTCACTCAGCATTGAAGGAAAAAAAAAAAACAGAAGTGAGAATTTTCAATGGGTAATAGAAGATGGATTTTCATTCTTAGTGTTTGGGTCCAATTTAGCCCAATTGGGCCTAGGCATTAAATGATCCAATTAAAAGCCCAAGGTCAAGATTCATCTCTCCAATTGTGCTAAAGTCAAAGATCAGTCCTCAAGGCAAGCCAATTGGGCTAAGGCCCAACTTCTCCATATATGCAAAGGTATAAAAGCCATCAATATTACATTTGTACATTCATTCAAGCAAAGCCTCAAGCAATTAATTCTCTTGCATAGTGTTCTCTTTCTACACACTGTACTGACTTTAGCATCGGAGGGGCCTTCCTCGGCAACACCCCCGAGGCTAGTTTACGTGTGTTTACTATGCAGGAAACCTTCGGCCCAACATCACTTGGACCGAATCCAGTCTTCTCCACTTCATCGGACCTTCGACAAGGTCCCATTGTTTTCACCCGAAACAATTTGGCGCCGTCTGTGGGGAGGACTTTCAAAAATCTTTAAGCCAAATTTCTAACCAAGATCATCTTGCAATTATCTTAGTAGCAATGGCTAAGGACCGCAAGAGCAAAGGCCTCCGTCAAGGAGCAGGCGAAAAGCCTAAAACCCCTACACCATCACCCTCGCCGGATCGGAACTCTCCCAAGGGTGCCAGCTCGGGGGGAGGATCATACAGGGAGGATTCCCTTTCTCCCGTAATTCATAACTCTCATCATAGGCCGAGTCACTCTCGGTCTAGCAGGGGTGAGTCCGATCATAGGACACATTCAGTGCCCCAAAGCCAACCATCGACTGTGCGCTCTCATTCCCATACTCGGCCGAGGACCCCTTTGACGGGGCCCAGCTCGGAGGAGGTGGCAAGAGCGCTGGCAGTGCTCATGGAGGCAATGAGGGCACAAAATATGCCACCACCTCGTGATCGAACTCCTCCGCATACCCGGCATCAACGGAGGAAGCTAGACCATGATGGTGGGAAGCTTCCTTCCTTCCGGGAACTGGAAGAGTGGGAAGAGGATACCTGGAAAACTGAAAAAGAGAGGAAAAAGAACCCTCAATTTTTCGAAGGATCCTCAACCTCCCGACCAGAAACGCATAAGAGCAGCAGCTCAGCTTCTCGGCCAGAATCTACTCACCGAGAACAACCTGAGACTGTTCGCCGAAGCGTCCTCGACCGACTCGGCGGCAAGGAACCGAGCGTGCATAGTCGCCTCTCGTTCCCTGCGGCCGAGGCCCAGACTTCCCAGCCAGGGACGAAAACCACTCCTACCTCTCTAAGAGGGCGGAGCGCGGTCCCTTCGGCCAAGAACAAGGGCAAGGCCGTTATGCTACCCGCCAGTTCGCCATTCGAGCAATGGATACTGGAAGAGCACGTGCCCACGGTTAAAATACCGTCGCACATCACATATGACGGGACCTCGGATCCGAAGGACCACGTGGCCTCGTATGAGACTCATATGCATCTTTGCCCCAGATCCGAAGCGACTTGGTGCAAATATTTCCCAACCACTCTCAAAGGGGTCGCGCAAGCGTGGATCTCCAAGGGAGTAAAGCAAGGCTCCATAACAGGGTGGGATGATCTGTCCTCCAAATTTAGGAGCAAGTTTTCCACGGCAAACCGCCGAGAGAAGACTACTGCAGAACTCATGAGTCTGCAACAGGGGGAAACCGAAAGCCTCCAAGACTATCTGACCCGTTTCAGTAACGAGTCATCCAGCGTCTCTCAGCTGGACCAGGGGCTAGCCGTTTTTGCAATGCAGAATGGCCTTCAGCCCGGGAAGTTCCTGGACTTCATGGTCATGTATACCCCGCAGACCTTGGAGGAAGCTCTGAATGCCTCGGATAAGTTCATCCGAGCCGAAGAATGGAACAAAGCGAAAACCCAACCTCAATTCGGGGGAGGGAAACAAAAACAAATACCCTTGTCTGAAGGCCAAGGCCATAAGGCAAAGGGAAAGTCAAAGGCCTCGGAGCAATCTTCGGCCAGCGACCCAAAGAAGGAAAAATCTGCCTCATACACAGGCAGATACGAGTCCTACACTCCGCTCTCTCTTCCACGCGCCAAAATTTACAGCGTGACAAAGGAGGAGCAGAGTTACCGAAAGCCGAGACCACTCCCAGAGTGGTATCAGCGAAAAAATAAAAATCAGTGGTGCGAGTTCCACGAATCTCCGGGACACAACACTGAGGAGTGTATCCAACTGAAGGACCAGATAGAGGACATGGTCCGGAAGGGATACTTGAAAAAATACATCGCGGATCACCGCGAGAAAAAAGAGTCCGAGAAGTCAGCAAAGGACTCTCGGCAAGACCTCGACTTCCTCCGGAAGAACAGTAAAAAGCCAGAGGGGAAATTCTCTCCGATCAATGTTATCTCGGGAGGAATATGCTCTCGGAGGGATCACAAGCGACACCTTAGGGCTTTGACTCACCAGGTGAACAACGCTGACATTCAGTCTCCCCAATCACCGGTGCCGAACATGACGTTCACAGCCGCCGACTGCCGGGGGGTAACGTTCCCTCACGAGGATCCGTTGGTGATCATCGCCACGGTGGCCAACCACGACGTCAGTAAGGTCCTTGTTGACGGTGGCAGCGGAGAAAACATTCTATTCCGAAAGGCCTACAATCAAATCAAGCTGAAGCCCAAGCACCTTACGCCGGTACCCTACCCGGTATCTGGGTTCATAGGGGCTTCAACTTATCCAGATGGGAAGGTGACACTTCCTATCACCATCGGCTGCGATGAGGCAGCCAGGAACGTCATGATTGAATTTTTGGTCATTGACGCTCCTTCAGTGTACAACGTGATTTTGGGGAGACCCATAATTCATGAGATCCAAGGGGTCGTCTCAACTTATCATCAACTCACGAGGATCCGTTGGTGATCATCGCCACGGTGGCCAACCACGACGTCAGTAAGGTCCTTGTTGACGGTGGCAGCGGAGCGAACATTCTGTTCCGAAAGGCTTACAATCAAATCAAGCTGAAGCCCAAGCACCTTACACCGGTACCCTACCCGGTATCCGGGTTCAACGGCGCTTCAACTTATCCAGATGGGAAGGAGACACTTCCTATCACCATCGGCTGCGATGAGGCAGCCAGGAACGTCATGATTGAATTTTTGGTCATTGACGCTCCTTCAGTGTACAACGTGATTCTGGGGAGACCCATAATTCATGAGATCCAAGGGGTCGTCTCAACTTATCATCAGCTGATGATTTACGTCTCAGACGCTGGCTTCCCCGAAAGGATACAGGGCAACCAAAAGGACACTCGAAGGTGCAACTACCTCAAGCCATCTAGTAGTCGCCCAGATGACGACAAGGATGAGGAGGAGAAAGAAAAAGAAAGAGATCCAAGCACAAAAAAGCCGAAAGGCCTAAGT